GGGGGGGGGGGTTTGGTGGGGCGGGTTTGAGAGGCTGCCAAGCGTGATAGAGGGAGACATGTCCTGGGAGCAAAGCTTGCGGCCGGTTGCCAGGTGCTGCCCGCCTCTTGCAGGCTCATGCGGCGTTGCACATTTTCACGCGTGCACGCCCCCCCCCCTCCCCCACACACACGCACACGCACGCACACACGCACACACGCACACACGCACACACGCACACACACACGCACACACACACGCACGCGCGCGCAAACACACACTATTACACACATGATCTACGCGTGCATGCACACAAACACACGCACTCACAAATGCAAACACCCACACCTGCATGAGCGGCACGCCTCATCCTGCCCATTACCGCATAACTTTTGAACAGCGATGCTCACCTCCGCAAAGAGCGGCATCAGTAGCAACGGTCACACGCCCGCTGCAGCGAGCCAGGCACTCGTTCTGGTACCATTCACCGTCGGCGCCGCACACCGGCCGCAGGTCGAACGTGCAGCCCTGAGTGCAAGTGGTGTCCGTACCACCAGCCGCTGCGACAGTGGTGATTGGAGCCACCAGCAGAACAACAGCGCACACCAGGCTCAAAGTCATCGCAGCCTTCATGGCGTTCGATGAGTTTGCGCCCCTTGCGGACGCCCTAGAGCCGGTCTTCCGTAACGCGGTGCTTTGAAGTCGACTATATTGTTACAAATATATCAGAGTTTCGGGCTAATGCGAATGACTGGTGCTGGCTACGCGCGTGCGCAGGCCGCTCGGCTCGGCTTGTTGATCTCGAGCACGCTGTCCGAGCTCAACGTCGTGTAATTGTAGTATATTGTGAAAAATTATTCTGTTACCATGAACTCGAGCTGCATAACATATCGATTGACCGGAGTGGACTCGTGCGCGTGGTTTCCGCGACGGCTACAAACAACGACCAGCCCTCCAGCCGAAATTACTTTTGCTTGCAAGGAGCACGAAATTTACTCAGATAATCAGTAATAAAATGTAGGCTTTAGATGCAGTGAGCGAGAGACAGCACTACGGTATCATTGCGACGTGTCGCACTGTGCAGCAAGGCCATCTACGGTACGGTACTTTGTGCTGCAGTGTCTTAGTCCCTCAGTCCGTGCGTCCTGAACACACCGTTATTTCATGTGTCTGGGATAAACAGCGCAGCAGCAGAGATGGGTAACAGTTTGCGCGCAGCTCAGGTTCATATGCGTGGAAAGTCACATGACTCTCTTGCATGGAGCAGCCCTGGAGCATTCGTTGGCAAGCATCAAGACGTCCCTGAACCGGGCTGGTTCATACAGCTGCACGGGCTGGCGTGGATAACCGTCCGCAACAACACCTTGTGTGCTCAAGCCTGGGTTCCTTCAGCTCAGGGATCAAGCTGGCGGGCGATTCATCCCCTCCCCCAAAAGCCAGACTCCTGTCAGGCATGAACGTATACACCTTGCTACACCTGACTCAGGTGTGCAGCATGTCCGACATGCTGCACACGAGATTGCGCCCCAAACCTCCCAAGTGACTGCCAATGCAGAGCCTCTCGTAACCGCACTCGCTGCAACACGTGGAAAGCGCATGGCTGGGGGCTCTGGGGATTCTGGGAAAGAAAACCCCAGCGCGACAGCAACGAGGCTCCAACCTGGGGTATGGCGCAGTCTCTTGCCCAACCCTCCAGGTCAGGAGGTTCCACCACGGGGTCAAGAATTGCATTGCAGCAGCCAGCCGGAGACCTCTTGGTCGCTCCAGACGCCATCTTTGAGCGTCCCATGCTCGCTTGCAGCAGACAATAGAGTGGCGCAATTGGGGCTTGACCTGTGCTTTGGGCTTGGTTGCTGCGTCAATGACTGCCATTGCATGCGTGGCTGACAATGTAGACTTGCACACCGGGGGCTGCAGTCATCTCTATAATTATTGTGCTATGCACTCTTGTTTGTGTTCAGAGGCGTGCTATCCCTTGCGTGTAAGCTACCCAGCCAACATTTCGCTGTGTGCAGCCGGCACGCTTCCAGCAATCGTATGTGAGCTTCCTCCCAGGGTTCAAAGAATTGTTTCCCCCAGTAGAGTCACGGTCACACACATGTGAAGTTTCAAAACCCAAACGAAGCCCTGAGTGGCTTGAGAAACGGGCGACCGCGGGATGCTGCGACAATCCTCGTCCCTCTCCTCCCATGGCCAGGGGTATGCGCACATATGTGCAGGCCCACATGTGAGGGTCAGGGGTAGCCAGGTGGGGGGCGGGGGCGAAGAGTGCGTCAGGGTCTTGAACCTGCTCTCACACCACGCCAGCTTGAAGGATGGCTGGGTGTTGGGTTCGCCTCAGTGCATACAGCCCAGGCTTGCCGGGCCTTGGTTTGCTGCCCTCCTTGAGGGACATGATGAGGGGCCGTGTCACCGCAAGCAGGCAGTAACGGTCATATACACGAAAAATGGTTCCTTATTCATCGATAATATAGCCAAAACGGCCGAGAACGTGAGGTACAGGTAAACTTGGCTGCGGGTGAGTGCGACACACTAGTGTCCTTTTCCCGTTTCTCAAGATTTCGCGTACAGCGCCCAGGCCAATTCACGAAACACGTGCTATTCAAGCAATCGCCTGCTAGTGAGTGCGTATGGGGCTCCCGCTGCCAACAACGCTGGCAATGCTTACTTGGTGGTGTAGTAGCCTGCTTGGATTCACCAATGCAAACAAAGGACCGTCAAATATTGTGTCTTGTTCGCTGGCTGCACGCATCACCCCTGCCGCACCATCGGCTGCTGACGCACACGCTGCCTGCACTTGTCGCTCCCCTCCCCTCCGCAGCACCAGCAGCGTCGCCACCGTCGCCGCCAACGCCAACCGGCGGGGACCGCAGCGGCCACAGCTGCAGGACACAGCAGCAGCAGCAGCAGCAGCAGCAGCAGCAGCAGCAGGATCGGCGGCGGCAGCGGCATCAGCAGCAGCGGCATCAGCAGCAGCGATGGCGCCGATACCGCGCGACGCCAAGGTCTATGTCGCCGGCCACCAGGGCCTCGTCGGCGGCGCCATCTGGCGCGCGCTGCAGGCGGCCGGCTTCACGAACCTCGTGGGGCGCACGCGCGCCGAGCTGGACCTGACTGACGAGGCGGCGGTCGACGCGTTCTACGCGGCAGAGAAACCTGAGTATGTGTATGTGGCGGCCGCCAAGGTGGGCGGGATCCTCGCCAACAACACCTACCCGGCCGACTTCCTGATCGACAACCTCAGGATCCAGACCTCCGTGATCACCGGCGCGCACCGCGCGGGCGTGAAGAAGCTTCTGTTCCTGGGCTCGAGCTGCATCTACCCCAAGTTCGCTGCGCAGCCCATGACGGAGGACAGCCTGCTTACAGGCTCCCTGGAGCCGACCAACGAATGGTACGCGGTTGCGAAGATCGCCGGCATCAAGACGTGCCAGGCGCTGCGCAAGCAGCACGGCTTCGACGCAATCAGCGTCATGCCCACCAACCTCTACGGCCCCGGCGACAACTTCCACCCGACGAACTCGCACGTGATGCCGGCGCTCATCCGGCGGTTCGTGGAAGCCAAGCAGGCGGGCGTAACTCAGGTGACCTGCTGGGGCACCGGGAACGTGTACCGTGAGTTCCTGCATGTCGATGACCTGGCGGCGGCGTGCCTGCACCTGATGGAGGTGTACAGCGACGCCGGCATCGTAAACATCGGCACCGGCGTGGACGTGACGATCCGGGAGCTTACTGAGATGGTGCGCGCCGCTGTTGGCTGGGAGGGCGAGATCGTCTGGGACACCACCAAGCCGGACGGCACACCGCGGAAGCTTCTCGATGTGTCGAAGCTCGCGGGGCTCGGGTGGCGGGCCGCGGTGCCGCTGGACAAGGGCGTGCGGGAGACGGTGGAGTGGTTTGTTGCCAGCCAGAGCAAGCAGGAGCTGCGGCTGTGAGGGCGAGGGGGGCGAGTTCGCGGCGAGCCCGCGGCGCGCAGGGTGGGGTCGTCTCGTTCGGTCTCGCCTTTCATCAGCGACTGTGCATGGTTGCTTGAATTTCTGGATGGCCTGGATAGTCCGCTAGCCTGGCGCTTGGCGGCCAGCTTTAGTGCAGTCTCTCTTTGATTTTATGCAACAGCAGCAGTGCTTGTGGTTACTTGACACAACATTTTAGCTTGGGGGCTCAAGGCACCCAGCAGTAATCAATGGCTTGAAGCCTGCCGTCTTATCAGCTGCAGCAAGGACTGCTTTTTAGAGGCGTTGATGCCTGTTGATGGTGGCGAGAGTGGGCGGACGGGGTCGGACGAGCGTTTGCCTGCACACAATGGCGGTGGTGAGCGGCGCACGTTGTTTGCATCTGGCATGCCGCAAGGCAGCACAGCAGGGCAGGTTTCCTTTCCTGGACAGTCTGGGTTGAAGTTACATATGCAGCCTTCGACCCTGGCGCCGACCGCATACCCCGCTCCATGAAGAAAACATGCGGGGTCGTCAGAGGAACCCCTGCAACCCGCCGCAAGCGCTTGGGTGACGCCTTTGGGGGTGACAGCTTGGCGGCTTGATTACCGTATGATACGGCAGTGCGTGCGCGAGTCCTTGACAGTTGAAGTGCTTTACTCGTTTCGAAGCCAAGCCACAAGTCTACCACTGCAGCAGATCGCGTCAAACCCATCCGTCAATCCGGCAGACCCAGGCGATTGAGCACATTCAGCGGTGATGGCACTGGCTGCTGGAACTCAAGCCCACGTTCGGGCTGGCAGACGGCAGCAGGGGGTGGCGAGGGCTACATTGCAGCAGCCTCGGCAGTGCAAGGCAGTGCGCCCTGGCCGGCCCTCACGGAATGCTCTGGTGACCAAGGCAGTCATTACTCCTTCTAGCAACCCCAGGGAGGTGAGCTTGAGTGTGGCTCCGATGTCGCCCTGCGTTACCCGGAGACCTGAGGAGGCGAATGCGGGACAGCTTGCCGCGGCACCTGGTTGTGGAGATTCTTAGTTCATGTCATTGGCCTGGCTGATGGCTCGGGAAGACAACAGCAGTGGCGGCACTGCAGCTTGTGCAGCACACACATGCGCGCTGCGGTGCTCGCGTTCGGCACCCACCAACCCTCGCCCCCGGCCCGCCCCCCGCCGGCGCCCCGCAGCTCTCCATCGACGAGATCAGCGTGTATGCGTCGATCGACAACAAGCCGGTGGACACGCGCCAGCGCGTGGTGGTGCTCGGCTCTGGTTGGGCCGCTGCGTCGTTCCTCAAAGCCCTCCCAAAGGATGTCAAGTGAGCCCTACAGCGCATGGCTGCGCGCCCAACGCGGCCCCAGCGCCAGCGTGCTTGCTGTGCGCAGAGTGCGCGCCCCGCAGACTGCCCAGACGCGCCGCCGCGCCGGCGCCGCTCTCCGGGGTGCAGCAGTGCCGTCGCGGGCGGCCCCGGGTGGCACGCGGCGGCCTCCCGCACCCATGCGACCCCGTGCCTGCGCCGCGCGACCGCCAGGGACAAGTTTGAGGTGATTGTCGTATCGCCGCGCAACTACTTCCTGTACACGCCGCTGCTGCCGGCGGTGGCAACGGGGACCATGGAGGAGCGCTCGATCGTGGAGCCCGTACGCAACCTCGTCACAAAGAAGGTGCGGATGAGCACTGCTGCGGTCATGATGATCACAACCGTATCACAGATTGGAGTGGTTAGTGTTGTTGATTTTACAAGTATCAGACCTCACGACAGGGTTTGGGGCCCGCGGGCGGGCGGGCTGGCGGGCGCCGGCCCGGGAGTCGGGCGGGCGGACGCGGGGCGGCTGCCGCCGCCGCGGTCGCGGCCGGACACGCGCATGGACGCTAGGGTCGTGCGGCGTGAGCGGGGCCTCCTCACGAGTGAACCCCCACACATACGCGTCTTTGACCTCCCGAACTGATCTTGACCGCCAGGGGGATTACTACGAGGCAGTGTGCAAGGCCATCGACCCGGTGCGCAAGGAGCTGGTGGCGTGCTTCCCCAAGGATGCAGGTGGGGGCGCTCATGATCACTATGATACCAGGTCGGGGTCTGTTTGTGTGTGTGTTTGTGTGGGGTGAATGAGGGGAGTGAAGAGCGGCCGGGGGCTCTGCACGTGGGGGCGGACCGCCAGCCGCACTGGTGGATGGGTACCGCGCGCGACGCGGCGCCCGCGCCGGCGCCGGCCGGACGGGCGAGCCCGGCAGGAGTGCGACAGCGCAGCTTTTGGGCGGCGTTAGAGGGGCTGCTGCGGACCTGCCTCGGCCGGCGGGCGTTGAGCGCCCGCGGCCTGCGGTCCGCGCCCCTCCTAAGGTCTGGACGAGGCGTGCTTCAAGATCTCATATGACAAGCTGGTGATCGGCGTCGGCTCGGTCAACAACACGTTCGGGATCCAGGGTGAGGATGAGGTCGGGGCAGGGTGGTGCAGGGCGTGTGGAAGGCAGCTGCCGGACGAGCAGCTGCTGCGCAAGCCGGCGGCACTGCAGCTATAGGGCTGCGGTGGATGAGGGGGCTGCGGTGGACGAGGGGCGCGCGCCGCCAGCGCCGGGGCCGCGGCGGCTGCGAGAGGCGGGCAGCGACGAATCCAGGGCGCAGCGGCACGGGGCGGCGGCGGTGCGCGGCTGCTATAGTCGCAGGCTGGACCCAGCACCCCTCCTCCCCCCGCCCGTCCCTGCCGCAAGCAACGACGAAACAAACCGCCCGCCGACGCAGGCGTTGCGGAGTACTGCAACTTCTTCAAGAGCATCGAGGACGCAAAGGCGCTGCGCCGCCGCGTCAGCGAGTGCTTCGAGCGCGCCGCGCTGCCGGCGGTGCGCGCCGCCCGCCCGCTTGGGGAGGCCACCACACACACACGCACACGCGCGCGCACACGCGCCCGCTTGGGGAGGCTTGGAGGGCCCCTGGGCACGGCGCCAGCCGCGGCCGCGGCGGTGGTGACCTCCGTAATGAGGCTCGCGCCGCGGCGCGTCCAGTCAAACCCTACCGCCTCGCGCCCCCTCTCGCCCCGCTCACGCGCGCCGAAACGCATGCGCACGCGCGCGCCCCCCGCCGCCGCAGACCCCGGACGAGGAGCGGCGAAAGCTGCTGTCCTTTGTGGTGGTCGGGGGCGGCCCCACCGGCGTGGAGGTGGCGGCAGAGCTGCATGACATGATCTTTGATGACCTCAAGGACCTCTACCCATCAGTCATCAAGGTGCGCCCCCCCCCCATAAAAACCACCTCGCGGCCGCTGGGCGCCCCGACCTGTTGGGCGCTTTGATCCCTTGGGAAGTTTCAGAGACCAGATCGCCGGGACCTGGGCATGAAAAATGGCATGGGGCCCACTCCTTCGCGGCTTGTTCAGCGGCAGCTTGGCAGTCGTGCCGGCCGCTCCGGCGGGCGGGCCGCCGCCCCAGCCGTGACTGCATCTTCCGTGCACATCAGGATTGCCTGGGCAACGCCGGGGGCGCGGACGCCCTCTTTTATGTTTTGCTGCCGACTGCAGCACGCTGTTGTCCCCGCCGTTGCCGCCCGAGCAGTCTGTGGGATTGCGAATCACTGGTTGCACAACCGTGGATCGAAAATAATTGCGCGATTGGCGGTTTCCCTATAGGACGTGCGCATCCGCGTGGTGGAGCTGATGGACCATGTGCTGTCCACCTACGACCGCCGGATCGGGG